TCGCGCCTGCATTTCGCGCACTCGACACGCACGATCTCCGCAGAGGGTTGCATTTTCGATTGACGCTGTTCGCCCACCCTCCGCCTTTAAGAAAGAATTTATAAAATGGGGAAATATATTTCATTAGGACATCTCCCGTGCTAATTTTCCATGCTCACTCATCACACTTGCATACTCATTGCATGTTTGTATATTCATTGCATGCTTGCACGCTCATTTTTAGACTTGCATATTTTGACACTTGCATACTTTGCATTTGAATGCTTTCGCTCTTCCAGTGGGTGTGTAAGTGTCGAAGTGTCACTATTCAAGGATTTTCCGGAAGAATCCTTCGCAATGCTTTCTGTAAAATATATATTCTTTTAATTTTATCTAATCGAAAGATTTTTTTTTTCCAAAAATAATTAAATATTAACAATCCTTATATATTCAAATATTTGCCTCAAACAATTAATTTAATGAATGCAAAGAAGATCAAAATAAATTAATCCCAAATTGCAAAAATCATTCCTAGTGCTAAAATATATTTATATTAACCTTTATCATCCAAAGGGTTGTGGAAACCACGGCCTTTCTTCAAAGGCTGGTCTTATAGAGCCCTAGACCACCAAATACCACTTATAAGGGGTATATTCATAACATATATTAATCACTACCTCACAATGAAGATGGAAAGAACATATTCCCATCACAATTTTTACGTGACCCACACAGCTTTCATAATTAAGGGATTTCACGGTTACCTCACGGCCTTTACTGGTATTTGGGGGGCTTATATGGTTTTTGAACTACATCACGTTCATTTCACGGTCCCGGATTTTCACCTCAATTATTATAGAGAAGAAGAATTCGGATATTTTCCTAAACACTCAATTTTAAATCATTAGATCAGCAATACCTAGGAAGCCTTTAATATGCTGTTTTGAGAAAATAAGACCGGGACTACCAATTCTAGAACCGAAGAAGACCAAAATAATATTCAATATTGTATATTAATGCACATATAATATAATATTAATATATATATATATTATTTTTTTCAAAATTTATTAAATATTTTCTAAATTAAAAAAATATAAAATAAATATATCATCCAATAATATATTTTTTTAAAAAAAAATCCGATTAAATCGAATTTCAAATATATTTTATTTATCGAGAAATAAAAATCCAATATTAAAAATTTAATTTATTTTATAATATTTTATAAAAATAATGTGTTTTTAATATAAATAAATATTTTTTTTATTTTTTTTAAATAATTTTTAAATATTAAATATATTATTTATCGATATTTATTAATTAATATTATAATTTTAGAATATATATATAGAATTTAATCGAATTATTTTCTTCCAAATATAGTTAAAAATCATAATTACATGGGAACCCGTTATATATTCTCTATTTTTATTATACCCAATTGCTTAATAAAAGAAATGTGGATCAAACAAAATTTAACGTCAAATTGCGAAAGACATTATAAACATTATACCGTTTTCAATTAATTTCCGAGCTTCAAGTCATGCTTAAAACAAAAAATATGTTACAAATCAACCTTGGAAGGGTCCACACTCGAATCTAACAATATTTACTAGCGCAGTGCTAGAACGCGCCTAGCGCATTTTTCAGCCAGCCACTTTTCAAAAACCTAACGACGTTCTAAACATGTCCTAAAGCAAACACTAGCGCAAATCTATCGCAAACCTAGCACCCAATTGCAGAATAGGTGTGTTTAGCTAGAGATCCGCTACATAATCTAATAATAAACAAAAACATCATAAGCTACTTTCGACCCCTTTATCTATTCTTTTTGCTTGTAGACTTTTAGCCGGACTATATTGAATAATATATTATATATTGAATAATGTATGGCCCAACATAAAATATGTGGTCCAATCAATTTAAATATGTTTATTCAATGCATGGGTAATTCCTGGTCTTTTCATTCGGCATTTTCGCCTTCCTTAAGAAGGCGATCATGACGGGAGCCCAGGATCTGCCAAATCTCTGGATGGTCGCTGCCACCAATTCGCCTTCGTGCCCGGGGCACGAGAAATCCCGTGAAACCGGTCCAGCTCGCTGGCCTGGTGACAAGCCACACTGCACTAGTTGAAGAAAGAGGGAAAATTCAAATGAATAAAAGCAATTCCAATTCTTTTCTCATGGCTCCATGTAAACTCGAATGTTCTGCTGGAAAAAGCATTGTCCGTTTGGTTTCTGTCGAGAAGCCTCACTGTTCGAGTGTTGCAGCACAGTTCGAATGAGCACACCACATGCAGTCCCTGAAAGGCTTAAACAACAATAACATCTGACAAAAGCTCCAAACATGCAGTGAAAGGTACTACCCTCTCTCCAACGAACCGTGGAAGTGGACGGGCCTGGCCCGTGGAAAGACCATGCTCCTCGACGATGGAGGAGGGTCCACTTCCATGTTCGTTGCAGGGAGGGTAGTAGGCAGCAACAAACACTGAAGAGCAATAATATCCAGCCTGGTTTCAGACAGACCACTACTTCGTCACAAAACGAAAGACGAACTCTTGTAGAGTGGTTGATGCTAAGAACATCTAAGAACATCCAAGAACCAAATCTAACCAGAATATCAAAGCTCTGTTGACCCGTATGTTCAATTCCAAGCGCCCCAACTCCTACCACCTTCCAATAAATGAAGAGCCAACCCCACAGCCGCTCGTTTCGTCGCGCGTACGCGCGCCTCGCGCCTGCCTAGCACCGTGTGGGGCAGCACAGCACGCAGCGGTTCTCATCCGCCAGACATCAACCATGAATCTCAATTCCTTGCTGCGTCAGTGCACAGGTTTTCTTGTTGGGAGGTTCTGGTCTCTGCTGACAGGTATCAGTGGCTCGGATCGGAAGTATGTAGAAAAGTAGGGAAAGAATAAGATTCAAAAAAAAAAACAAAAAACGTGACTAATTGCACTCACATACCATCTTCAGCTTCTATTCGGGCAAAACGACCAGTTTGGAGATCTGCAAGCTCTCATTCTGCTGTCCCCACATCTGCAGCCAAGTCGCTGCTACGAGTTGGTTGAAACTGCGAGGTGTCTCCAAACTGTCCCATCCCCTGGCACACAAGCTGCGCTCCTCTGGATTATCTCACCGAACCAAACATATATACTTCGTCTTCGCTTCTGAAAGAATGACAGGATGGAAGAAGGGTATTTTTCCTTGAGAGTACCGTTGATTATGTTCGAATTAAGTCAAGAAGTAGCACCAAAACAGTTGAAATGTCTATCCCGTTTTGAGTTCCGCCTTACTTGGCATGTTCAGCACGTAGCGCCGTTCCTGGACCTCCGGTGCCACTGCTTGCATTGGCTCCTAAAAAAAACACGGGTCCCGGTCGGATCGAGAGGGAAACAAAACCATCGGCACATTGAAAAGAGACATCAAATCCATGGATTGACATATGGTTTTTGGTTTGTTTTGGGTTTGTTTTGAACATCCTGGACATCCAAGTGACCTTGCAACCATGCACTGCAAACATGTCAACAACAAACATCCATCTAGTTTGCGAGGTGTTCGGCACTCCCAAGCAAGTCCTCCTCCTCTTCCTCCTCTTCATCTTCCGGCATGATGGTGTTCGCTGCGCGCCTCTGTACCACTAACCACATCTAACCACACACAACTCATCACAAAACTCCTTCCGGTCAATCCGGTCCACCCGTCCTTCGGCCACAAAACCCTGAGCTCTGGACCCCAAAAGCTCGAGGATGGATCGAAAGTCGTGACCTGGGAAGGTACCATCGACCCACTAGACCCGCGACCGTGCCGTGCCGCCGGACACGTTAGGCCGTTTCCACCGGCTGAGGCCTTAAAGGGGTTTTCAAAGGATACGCCGGTCCCATAGAGTTGTTGGGGGGGTGGGCGCGAACATGCAACAAGGCCTAAAGTCAAAGTCTTTGAAAGTCTTTGAGAGTCGGGAGGTGTGTAGGAAAAATCGGGAGACCTCCCAAAGACCCCCTGGAAGAAGGGAAAATTCACCAAGACCCATTGGTTGGCTTCTCGGTTCTGGTTGTGGTGGTTTCTTCTCCGGTCTTTTCTTCCTTCGTTCGAGACGGAACTGGTACTGTGCCTCTGAGGGATGCAACTTTGGGGAAAAAAATACTCGATTTCCCTTTTGGGCAAAGGTTCACTGAGTTGTTCTTGGAGTGGTTTCGGTCTGTCGTTTGGCTTGATGCCCCTGGTGAGACGAGCCTTTTGGAGATTTACATGTCATTTTCCATGTCTACCGGGCATATGGCTCCGGTAGGACTGACCGCACGTTGAAGAAGAAGACCAGGTCGAAGCAAGGACTGCTTGGCTTTCATGCGGCTTCCGAATCCGTGAGGGCTGACCGAGATGTGATTTGAGCTCTCAACTTCGAATTTTTGTGTCAAATGGCTTGGGAAAGTCCTTAACTTTGGACCTTTCTCATGTCATCGTGATGCTTTGAGGCGGTTAGGTTTTCATAACCCGACCTTCCATATTTTACAGAAGTTGAAGCTGCCGATTCACGATCGTGTGGCTGAGAGCTTGTGAAAATTCTTTCATGCCGGACGCAGGTCCACATTGAATATGAAGAATTGTTGGAGACCTTGAACAACCAGGTTCGTTTTCGGTGTGTCTACCTCACGCTAAGCTTTGGGTGGCCACGGCAAGTCGTCGACTGCATGAAACAGCAAAGGCCAAAGACCCATTGGTTGGGGGCCTCCCAATAAAAATACACACCCGAAAAGAGGCAAACCGGTAACTCGCATCGATTGGCAAAACACACTTGCTTGCCTTCACGACACCCCGTTTTAGGCCGGCGTGCCTATATAGGAAGGCCTCTTGGAGGCCACGCACATTGGAAGGTAACAGTGACTTCCAGTTGGTGGTTTTTCCATGTCTTGGATTTGGAACTCTCCCCCTTGATCCCAATGACTTTGGTCAATTTGTACTCTTCACCACATCTCCGCACTCACACCGCCTGCAAAAAAAATGGCCTTTTTCACCAAGCAGCCGCATGGTCCAAAGCACATGAGAACAGCCGGCAAAGGAATCAATGAGAAGATCACGGCATAGATCGTCACGCCACAGACCTCGATAGAACGATAGAACGCCCGGCAACTCGCTGGTCACACGCTGAAAGGGGTCCAAAAAAGCAACATCGATTGTCGCTTTCTTTCCTCACGTCGTCTTCAATTGTTTTGTTCATTCTAGATGATATAATGCATTGTAATGCATAATTTTAGACATCTATAAACCGTTAATCATTGTTGATACACACACAAAAACACATGCATGACAATTGTGGCAACATGTGGCAAACAATCAGCATCAATCAATTCTATTACACCAAATTATTCTATCTTAGACCTCTAACACACCTCTTGCACCGTGAATATGCTTGCTCAAAAAGCTTCTACGTTCAAGCCAAAGCACCACGGCACCAAGCTTGAAGAAGATGTGCATCGTGCAGGGCAGCAGGAAACATGCACAGCCAATGGTGGTGAGTGCAGAGCCAACCTGGGCTTCGAGAGGAACAAAGTCAGTCAGGTTCGGATGGCCAATGGCGCATGGCACCTAGAAAGCCTTTTTTTTTGGAGCCTGCAAAATGAAGGACCCCGGAAAACGTCAACCTACCCAATTCCGGCATTGAATTCTTCACCCATCTCCAACGTAGCCCCCATTAACCACCTCCAACGACTAGCCTCCCCCTAATTATTTTGGGAACATGTCGGCTGAGTTTGCGTCGCAAGCCGGTGTTCACCCAAAAACAGCGCTTTCTTTTCACAGCTCGGCGCTTGTTTTCACCGCCACCGCCTCCGAGCAGAGACTCTCAGCTTCTAATTCGAGCAGCAATGGAGCCACCAATCCGCTCTAAAGCATATCTCGAGCGCTCGAAGCGTTCAGCACCTCAAGTCTGTCGGGATCCTGTCTCGGAAGCCAATTCGGCCCGTTTTTGTGTGGGCGGCGGGGGGGGGGAAGGGGAGCGCGCCCGTTTTGGTTTTGGGGGATGATTCATAAGCTCTGCCGTGAACGACTGGTGGTTCACGAGTGATTCACTTGCTCATGCACACAATCACTGTTTATATCTTATAATCTATCAACACCTAGGGCCCTAGGGCCCGCTCCGATGACCTGAGAAGGTCGTTGGGGTGGGTTTGGGGGTTCCAACATGTTCCACTACCTGTTGAGGACGTGGTTGAAGCCCGAGGGCCACATGTTGCAAAATCTTCAGCCCATTTGGATCCAAGAGAAACATGTCCTCGTGTTCGCTTGTAGCGTCTGGATCAACTTGACTCAGGTGCGAGCTCCGATTCTTCGACAAGACTTTCTTGTTCTTCTCGCAGGTGGCCTCAACAAGCAGGTCATTCATCCATACGTCCAATTTGATGAACGATCCAACAAATTTGGAGACCAGGCGGTTATGCACATATCATCCGGGAAGCCAATCAAGCGGGTTATGTCTAGAACCGTCAGAAGCGTCAGATATCCAAAAGATGTGTTGGCTTCTCCAGCGTCACCTCCCCAATGATTCACGGATTGGGCCTCCGATCCCACGGGCAAGTCCAACACGAGTTTTTTTCCGACCGGTACGTCTGAAAACCACACATGGGGGGATTGTGGGCAAGCATCATGTCAAGGAAACACATAAATGAAACACTGGCCAATGCTTTACCTAGAAAAGGAAGATCATATAGATAGACACATTATTGAATAGATGATCACGCAGTATAACATATTAGTGAGTAATACTAGTAATAATAAAAACATCAATACAATATAGTTCATATAGGTGCCAAATACATGGTATTTCCAATTTGCCCCTGATGGTTCTCACCAGCACGGTACAACGTTCCGGCCTTTGCTGCTGGAGCATCCGACACCTTCATGCTCACGCGGCGCCCCGTCTTCCCCACCGCGGCAGCCCTAGGTCCATGCGGCGAAAGGAGGAGTGCTTCCATTGGGGGTTCGTGGAGTGGATGGGAAAGACAAAAGGAAGGCAAAGGAGGCATGGATGAACGTATTAATCATATCTTCTGACCATATCTTGGGACCATATTCCATCATATTCCTACTTGACTGCTCACAACTCACTTGTTTGTTTGCGGAAATGAGTGAACAGGCACTCATGGCTGATAGCATGGTATCTTCCCATCTGCCAGTCTTAGGGCAGGACATGATACTCTTCCTGCGCGAGGAATGAGCGCAATGGCTCCCAACAACATGTGTGCCCTTCGGCAAGTGCACATCCGCTTAAAACCAACAAACTTGCCAAGGCAAGTGAACATCTGCTTATACCAACAACCAATGAAAACAAAGGAAAACGGTCGCTCTCCTGCCAAAGCGTTGTGCCATGGTTTCGTGGTCTTGGACCTGGTCCGGTTGGGGACCCGGTCACATCCCAGCGTCACAAAGACCATAAAAAAAAGGAGCACATGTCACACATGTTCGTGATCTGCAGGTCATACGTGTGCTTTGTTTAATGTGGGTTTCTCTGTTGACTGCGGAAGTCAGCCAGCAAGTGACCTCTTCCTCTTCCACCTCCTCTTCTTCCTTCTCCTTCAATCAGTCATTGCCACATAAAGCTGACTCAACAATGCACAAAGAACAACGTCCGTGAGCTTGCTTGGGCAAATCGGCACATCGGCCTCGACATCGGTGATGTGGCAGGAGTGGTATTTGTGGGACCTCGGCTTTCAGAACAATACAAAAACCATCAAAAACCTCTATCCAACGTGGACGAAGACGCACTGAGCTTGCTCTGAGCTTCGCACAAATGGAGACAATAATCCACCGCAAAACCCACAAAGACGATCAGGGACAGGACTTCGATGGCACCGATCGCCCAACCCATGATCTTAGTTGGTGTGGGTGCCGTGCTCAAACGAATGCTTCAGAATGGCACTTCTCTTTGGAAGGTACAGAGTACATGGTCCTTCTTCAATGTAGTTGCACCCTCTAAAAGACCTTCATGGCACCGGTAGCATCTCCGCACCTTCGAAAACGTGGCTGCTCTCCGTCTCATGTGTCACAGCCTCTTTTGGCCCAAGGACAATGACCATGAAGAAGAGCAAACCCACAACGATGGTCAGCACGATGGTCATCACGATGATGGCCAGGTGCGTGCTTCGTGTGAAGACCAGCACTCCCAGAAACACGCAACCCAAGGAGATGCAAAGCGTGATCAACGTGCTGTCCAAAATCACCTGGCCCAAAGGGAGAAAGCCACAACATACAAAATTGTTTTTGGGGCGCATAGTGACAACCCTTCGAACTGATAGAATATTGCCCGGAGAAGTCTGTCTGGACATGTTGAAGAGGAGCGATTTAAAAAAGGACGTCTCCGACTGTTTTGAACAGTTTTGTGAACCAAAGCAACCAACCGCATGCGGACGTCGTTGCTGTCGCCTTCTCTGCTTCACTCACGCTCCAGAGCTTGGAAGCCTCGTGCGCCGGGGCGACGCCCGGGCGACACATAGGGCCAACGGTGGATGAGCATTTTTCCAACACTGGGACCTGGCATCCAAGTAACCCGTCTGAGAAGCGGCAGTCACTGTGATGGCTTTAATAGGTAAAAACATGTAAAAACCGCCCCTGTCTGAGCAGGTAGTTATGACGGGCTGTGCACACAAAATGCAACAAGACGTCTTCATGTTCGAACCAGGCTGTGGGTCATGGCACGAGGATACCTCTGCCTACCTGGATTAGTCGTTCGCGCAGCCATGGTGGACTGGGTCGGTCATGACCGTCATGACCCATCTGGTCAATGGCTCGAAAACCGGACTCCGACCCAGCCACGTGCCAAGCGCCCTTAATGGATGCGTCCGCTTGGCTGTTGAAAGCCTCAAAGGCCACTGGCGCAAATGTTCTAAGGAAGAAGGACATGAAACATTAAAGAATGGACATAAACAAAGCATCGGAACACAGAACAAGACAACTGCAACAACAACAACAACAACGACAACAATGATCACCACAACAACAAACCCTAAAAAGAACAACAGCCTTTAAAACAATAACACACACACAGCAGAGCATTCAAAATTACTGCTTGTCCCCCAGAATTTTGCAGAGGGTTTCTTTTCCCTTTTAGTATCTTTTAGTCCTTGTTTTGAGCCGTACTTTGGTGCTGCCAAAGCACTGCCATGAAGCGATCCCAGTTCTGCATGGCCTCCAATCCCACCGAGGAACCCGCCAAGCGATTCACATTGAGGAAGCACCTTTGGAGCGGTTGAGCAGAGGAGCAGCTGCGCGCAACTGGGAGCCGAAGGGAACGTGTTTCACCGAAGAACAGCGAGTCGAGTCGGCTGGTCTTTCCAGCATCCACCATGACAATGTCGATGTCTGTGTGTGTTTTTTTCATTTTTTTCTTGACATGGTGTTCTTTCCAACTCCAAAAGGGTCCCACCGGTCCCATGCAGGTGTTCCGGTGTATGAAGCTGACTTGGTTGGCACGCGTTAAGTTGAAACAGGTTGGAACCTTGGCGCCCAGGGTCTGGTTCTTTCATGCAGCATCTTGGCAGGTTGGAAGCTAGGTGTTGCTCCTTCCATCTCAATGGCCAAATTCTTCGAGATGGGCTGACTGAGTCCGCCATGTTTCTTAAGCGAAACGGAAGCCGACTTAGAACATGGGAGTCCAATTTAAGAAGCATCCAACTTTTGTGTTGCAGCGTGTTCTTCTATTTGGCCGCTGTGATGCAACGTGGCTCATGAGACGACAGGTTTCCAGACTCACATTGGACTCACCGAAGGAACTGGCTACAAACCCTAACGATTAAAAGCCTTAGGCCTTAGTGTTTCAATTCCCGGGCAAGCTGGACCCTCCACCCTACTTGCGATGGCCTCCACCCGAGCAGCGATGGCCTCCAGCAATGGCTTCCGCCCTACTTACGAAACTGGCGTCTCCAAATCCAAGGAGCTGGAAGTACATGGCAATGAGCTTCTCGTCTTCGAACCACAGGAAGCCTCAGCGTGTGGCCATGGTGAGCCACCGGGGGTCTGGCGTGAAGAGAGCCACCCGGGGTCTTTCTCCGCTTTGGCGTTTGTCGACTTAGAACGACCTTGGCAGGGTCAGGATGTCCGAGAAATGGGTTTGGACGATGTTGATGTTCCACCAAGGGTGTTCTACGAGTTTCTAGGTGCTTAAAGCTTAGGGTCATTGAGTCATCCAGTAGAATGAATACTTATCAAGGAAGTGATTCTGGGCAGTTCTTTTGACGACGACGACGACAACAAGATCGAATCGCAACACACAATGCGGTCAAGATCACTTGATGTTTCGAGGTTGCCCGTCCTCATGTTGTTGGCGTACCACCAAGCTTCACCATGGAAGTTCTTGCTGAGGCGGACGGGCCACTCTTCGTTGCGCATGTTCACCCACCAATCTCGAAAACCCACCAACCAGCAATGCATGCTGATGATCTTCAGCTCCTGCAAATTCCAGTGCTTGCACAAGAACAACCCGTAGTTATGATTCACATTCATCAGCTTCGACCCTAACACTAAAGCCGTTCATAGCCGCTATCATAGCCCAGCTACCTGTTCTAGAAGCATAAAGAACCTCTTCCAACACTTCCAACAACCTTCCCCCAAAAATATTGCTTGCAAACACACCTTCCCAATCTTCCCGGTATAATAAGTGAGCATCAATAGGCCTCTCTACCCTTCGCCGCCGCATCACCGATCTCGCCGCGCCTCTGGATGGTTGGTGCAAAGACTCAAACTTTGCCGCTGCGCCCAGGGATCTTCAGGGCGAAAATCCGTGGAAAATCCATAAGGCTGTTCAGTGGAGACTCCAATGAGGCGATTACTCCCGGTAACCACCAGGCCGAAGACCACCAAGACGTCCTCAGTACGAACTCGTACTCGTTTGGAGAGACATTCAAGGAAAAAACGTACCAAAAACGCGTGACCAGCACATGGACATCCACCAAAAAATATCAAAAACATGATTTCAGCTTCTCGATGTGCATGGGTATCTTGGATTTAAACTGCGCAGTGTGGGTGGCAAACTCCTTTCAAAGGACATAACAAAGGCATCATTTCCTGGCCAAGAAAAAACAACGCCCCCAAACAAGTCGAGTCAGCATTCAGGATCGAACTCAGGTGACATACACAAGTTCTCTCGTCTCAAGGCGGAACATGTCTGTTTCGGAGCACATCTCCCTGAAACAACCATGAAAGTGGAAAGAGTTCGGTCCCTTCAAATTCCATCCTGAAATCAGCACCTGCTCAGCTTCTGGAGGGAGGGTCTCTCTTTTTGATCATCCGATGGCATGTTCTTCTTCCACCGGGCAACTGCCCGCACTTCCGGCGGCAGCAACGGCTCGGGCGTGGTCGTGGTTGCCAACCGGCGTGCGACGGCGCTACTAGCGCCGTCCAAGCGAAGGTGGTTGGAAGAGACTCCTGCAGATCGGCAGATCGGTGGTTGGATTGGCCTCTATAGACTTGCAACCACAAGAACTAAACGAACCTCGTTGAAGATCTTGTTCTAAGCTCATGGTTTTGGTAGCCGCATTCTATGCGCGCCTGGACCATAAGCCCATTCAAAAGCAAACGTGCAATCTGAGAACAAAGCGCCAGATCTCCTCCAAATCGATCTTCAACCTCCTCCATCCCTTCAACCATGCTTTTATAGTCAAAAATAAAGAAAAGCACTCCTTTAGTATCCTTTAGTCAAAAATACATCGAGGTTCGATTTCTCCTGCGCTAGATCCCTCACAGGGCTGCACACCGCAGTAGCAAATCTCTTGGAGGACGCATGTGCCGCTTCCGTTGCCCAACAGCCTCGCATCTGGCACCTTCGACGGTCTGCACAAACGATTTGACCGGTGGACGAAGACATGACCGGTGTGCCTACCCATCGGTCAAGGGAGTGGACTTGGTGAATCACAGGATTTGGACCATGGATCGACCATAATTACCGCACATACCCCACCAACCACTCATCATATCAGTAACTAATCACGCCGAGTATACGTTCGACACGATTTTGAGCTGAGGTTTGGCTGAGGGTGATAGATTCCTTTTTGACCGGTCCGGCTCAAAAAAAACGCCTTCACTCTCTTCATCTCTCTTCCAAGGGTCTCGTTCCGTCATTCCTCCCTCCCGCGGCTTTGAAACATGCCCCAAAGAGCGGGACGCCTGGAGCATCACGCGCAAATCTTCCTCGCCACTGTCCCAGTGGTAGGTTTCCAGCACCGATGACTTGATACCTCGACGGTTTCGGTGACACGTAGCGAGGAGGCGTCGGACAGACCTCGTCCCAGCCCATTTGGGGAAACAAAATTGAATAACATCAAAAAACAAAGAATGAAGTCAGCTGAAGACACTGGATCCGATGAATTGCAGCTCCCTGTTGGGAAATCGACTGCGCAGTGAAGCTTCCTTGGAAGCTAATTTCCGTTTTCCGTGCGCACAGTCGCAAGAACAACGGGGCCCAACGTTCGAAACGTTCGAACGGCTTGGCATTCGGAGGGCTCGGATTTAATCTAGGATTTTTTTCCCGAAAGCACCTGCGAAGGGTTTTTCCTTAAGCACTGCTGCCTATTTCATCATCCTTAATCTCTTTCTCTTACTTGATCTTCCCCACTCTCTCTTCCTTACTCTCTTTCTCTTACTTCATCTTCCCCACTCTCTCTTCCTGACTCTCTTTATCCTACTTCACCTTCCTTACTTCATATTCTTTACTAACTTTCTCCTACTTCACCCTCACAACATCATCATCTAATCATCACCTCATAGGTTATCATATCATATCAGGTTATAATATCATATCACATCACATCAATGTCATAACATATCATATCATATCATGTTTTAATATCATATCACATCACATCAATGTCAGATCATATCATCTCATATCATGTGATAAAATAATATCACATCACAACATAACATATGAAGTAGAAGTATCAGATCAACAATATCAAAGTACATCAGAAGTAGATATTGATAGGTAGGTATTGATAAGTGGGTATAGACAGGTAGGTGTAGGTAGGTAGGTGTAGATAGGTAGGTGAAGATAGGTAGGTGAAGATAGGTAGGTGTAGACATCTTCCTTAAGACACCTACCCAACTTCACCTACCCAACTTCTTCTTTATTCTTCTCTTTAGGCGGCGGGGCGGTGCGAGCAGGTCTTACGAAACGCAACCCTCTCGTGGAATCGTGGCCATCGATCGCGCGCGCGTGTGGTGAGACGCGAATCGCGTTTGTCCGTGAGCAACCCTCTGCGGAGATCGTGCGTGTCGATCGCGCGAACGTGTGGTGAAACGTACATTTT